CAAGTTGAAACACCATGAACATTAAATATGTAAATTAATCACATAAATGATTCGTTTCCATGTCTGAATGGAGGAAAACAGTGTACAAGTGCAAAACACAGGAGAACTATGTTAAATAATTGTAATCCTCTTTTTCAGTTGCATGTAAAGTTACAGCACTACAGCAACTAACCTAACATTCCCCTCATGGTGCTTTGATCACACTGAAATACTTCAAGCTTCAGACTTAAGCAACCAGATATTAGTCTAACATGTAGTGAATGAAAAAACATACATTTTTAAACTGTTATAAAAGCGCCACAGTGTTTAAACTGAGCTTATCACACTACATGATGCACCAGCCGTGTCTCAAAAGAAACTATTGACCTCATTTTGTTTTGTTTTTATTTTACACTATCGTTAATGTAGCAATGTAGTTATTTAACAGCAAAATCGCAGCTGGGTCATTAAACAGAAATGTCCACTTTTGAAATGGCAAGATGTCTTAAAATGTATTTCTTTTTCTAACATGTACACTTCGATCATGTTATTACATAACTCACTGGCTGTATGAACTCAAAATGACCATTTTAAATTAAATTTTAATGTCTACTTAAACTGACCCATTATTCTACCAGTGACTCTCCAGTGAAACAGTGGAAACAAACATTATAGTTATAATGAGCAAACGTTACATAATTCAGTTCCACATCACAGCCAGAAAAATACACTTTATCATTTTTTTTGGTTGTTATTGTTGCAGTGTTTTTATCATAACAGCATGTTAGGAAGCCGAATAGAACAGCAACGGATAAACGGCTTCTCATCAGGCAGCGGCGAGAGTCATGGCTGAACCAGTAAGTAAACATAATAAAACACATTTCCTGATTTCAGTGTTTAACAGTCAAATGTCTATATTTTATGATGTTTACTTACCAATTCAGCCGTGACTCACTTCAGCCGTATTACTTCCTGCTGAGATGATGTTTAACTGACGCCATTCTAATCAGCATTCTTGTGTGTTTTTATGGTAAAAAATGAACTCGTTGGCTGAGAAGTTGTATTGTGGCTCAATCACTAATCCAGTGGCACTGAGGAAATAATCCAATAAAGTTACATTTAAGTAGAAAAAAAAATATGCAGATTTTAGTTTTTCAGTTTATAGGATTTGTAGGCTTGGGAGAAACGGATCTTTATAAAGCTTTGAACGTGTTGAACTGATCACTTTAAGAAGGGGTTCACCGCTTCAACACTCTCAAAACAGATGTATATTTTCCATAGTTTCTTCAAATGTGTGTAAATGCATTGTGACAACCCAGAGCAAAAGCACATAAAACCCAACAATAGGGAAGTACACCTTTATATGTTTACATTTAAGGATAATCTGTAATACCCTGAAATAAATAAACCTACATTTGTATAGAATGGTGGTCTTCAACATACACAGATGAAACAAATAATGCTGGCTATCACATAACAGCGACACATGTCAAGGTCTGGGAAGTGTTAGACAGTAAGCTAACAGTTGATTCTCACAGCTGATGTGTTGGGAGAAATGGGCAGACATGAAGACCTGAGTGACTTTGACAGCAGCCAAATCATTATGGTCAGACGACTGGGTTGGAGCGTCTCCAAAACGGCAAGGCCTGTGGGGTGCTCCCGGTCAGCAGTGCTGAGCACCTACCAATAGTGGTCCAAGGAAGGACAAACAATGAATTGGTGACAGGATGTTGGGAGGTTATCAATGCGCGAAGACAACTCTATCTGGTCTGAACAGACAGAAGGGCTGCTGTGGCACAAGTCACAGACATTTTTAATGATGGTTATGGGAGGAATGTCTCCCAACACACAGTGTATCAGAGGGTGGTGCTGAGTAGCTGCAGACCGTCAGAGTGACTATTCTAACTCCTGTGGACCGTCGAAATTAAGGCATGTTACAAATACAATTACTGAGAGCACATGAACAGTAAGGCACAACACAAATACATTAAGGGAGAACAGAACTGGTAAATGTTTCTGCCTAAAACAGTAGTGTGGTGATAACAGTAGTATAGCTAGCAGGCTAACAGCTCCACACACTGCAGCACAGATTCAATTCCTTCTAACTGATGGTCCAATTATATAAGTTTAGCTGATAAAGACTCTTTATTTGTATTCATATTCCATTTGTTGTGATGTTGATGTCGTCTTGTTCTCATCTTTTATTTGCTTCACAAATGCCGTTGTGTCGTGACTCTCTGGGCCAGTTCATCCACCCAGGTTCCTGACTAACGTACTAGTGTATGGTGCCTGTTCAAAACAGAGATAGCTGATGTGTAACTGTTGAAATAATTTACATGAGATAGGCCTACTGTATGAAAAGCTTCTGTTTTATGTGGCTATGCAAACCAGGCCAAATAAAGATCTTTGGAATTACTTTAGATGTAGCATTACAGCAATAAACAATAACGGCAATAATCTAGGCTACTTAAAAGTTGATGCATAATGAACTAATTCATGCAGCAAGTTGAAACACCATGAACATTAAATATGTAAATTAATCACATAAATGATTCGTTTCCATGTCTGAATGGAGGAAAACAGTGTACAAGTGCAAAACACAGGAGAACTATGTTAAATAATTGTAATCCTCTTTTTCAGTTGCATGTAAAGTTACAGCACTACAGCAACTAACCTAACATTCCCCTCATGGTGCTTTGATCACACTGAAATACTTCAAGCTTCAGACTTAAGCAACCAGATATTAGTCTAACATGTAGTGAATGAAAAAACATACATTTTTAAACTGTTATAAAAGCGCCACAGTGTTTAAACTGAGCTTATCACACTACATGATGCACCACCCATGTCTCAAAAGAAACTGTTTACCTCATTTTGTTTTGTTTTTATTTTAAACTATCGTTAATGTAGCAATGTAGTTAGTTAACAGCAAAATTGCAGCTGGGTCATTAAACAGAAGTGTCCACTTTTGAAATGGCAAGATGTCTTAAAATGTATTTATTTTTCTAACATGTACACTTAGATCATGTTATTACATAACTCACTGGCTGTATGAACTCAATGAAAATTCAATGAATCTAAAATTATCTTGTCAAATGTGATACATTTTATTTAATATGATAAAACACACAGTAACACCAGGGACATACATAAGACTAAAAATTCTTAACTCTGATTAACAATGATAAAAGTGCTATTTCATGCAAAAGAATTCAATGAACAACTCTGAATAAAGTCTATGTATACATAGGAGTCATTGGTGTTACTGATCCTCACTGGTGTTACCCATAAGAAAGGTAACACCAGAGACATGTTCATCAAAAATGAATTTTACAAAATGGCCACTACAGGACATCAAACCACATATTGTCAGTGGGAAAACCCACTAAATGATGTCATTTGATCCATTTGTATCCTTTTTTTTTAAAATAATTCCCAAGAATGAAGTCGGTCGTAGTTGAGCTCAACTAAAAGCTTCATATGAAATCATGATATAAATGTGAACATTTCTGAGAACTGAAAAGAAACAGTGGTTTTACCATGTGCCTTTCTTTATAGATCTTCAGGAAATAGGTAAAAGGAAGTTAAGTGATGTAATCAGTGATTTTTATTTCAAAATAAAACATTTTTGTTATGCGGTAACACCACTGACACTGCAAATCCATTACTTTCATTATAGATTTTATAATATTTATTTGGCATTTATTAATGTTATTTATATCATATATTTAATAGTTGTGCATACTTTATTGCAATTTCAATGGTAGAAAAAAACCTGAACCGAACTATGGCACTCTATACACGGGGATGAGCACTTTTGTGGTGCATGGAGTTCTATATCATTGATTAAAAAAGTATTGGCAAATTGACGGCTCATCAAGGTGTAAATGTTTAAATAACACATTGTTTTGTTTCAAAATATGAATAAATTTAAAATATAAATGAAATGTAAAGTGTTTTTCAAGTCCTGTGATGGACTGGCGACCTGTCCACGGTGTTTTCTGCCTTCCGCCCAGTAACCGCTGGGATGGGCTCCAGCTCCCCCTGTGACCCAATAGGTATAGTGGATTAGAAAATTGCTTACTTTGCTCTGCTTATGCTTTAGCTCAGATATAGCTGCTTTTCTTGCATCTCGGGCAGGAAACCTTTCCTCAAAAGAAGGATAACTTCTTGTAAAACGTCTTTCAACGGTCAACCTTTTACGAGGCTGAAGGCAGCTTCTCTTCTCCCTGCAGTGGCGCTACGAACCATGATGACCAAGTACGCCCTGCCAGAATGTGCGCATTTAGCTTTTTGCCAACTACCTTATTGTTAGCAAAATGTTTCAGCATCTCCACCTAACATGGCTAATCTAGCATGATGGTTATAGTTATTTTCACCTATCCATCAATATATCACTCTATAGATGTTAGCGGACGTTATTTTACTCTGATAGCTGTGAAGAAATTTTTCCACAAAGCATGTATAACCTTTATTTAGTCTGGACTCCCACACTGTTGTGTATTTGGTGTTCACCACCCATTCTAGACACATCCTTGAATTCCAACTATGACAAAGATAAAATTGACACACCTTTCTGTGGTAAGCTGAAGTGATACAAACACCTGTATTTATGAGGTTAATAATTGGTCGTAAACCAACAGCAGAACTTGTTTTTCCCAGTGTTTATGCGCTTCCATTTCTTGTGAAAATGGCCTATTGTTTTCTGCGCTGCAGTCTGCATGCCAATCTTCAGGGTTAAAGGTTGGTGAATTAGCAGTTACACATTATACAACTACACAGTTGAAAACTGTTTATTGTTAAAACTGTGTTAGAAGAGCTTCATTTTACTGCAAAGGAGAATCATTTCATTTTTACCTAAAAATGTAATTCTGTTGTGGAGCCGAAACAGGGCAGTGAAAGAGAATGTTCCTGACCCCTGAAATAGAATGACTAAGTTGCTTCCACTGCCGCACAGTCATTCTCTCTTATGCATGTATTATGTGGGAGCAGCCCATTCCTGTCAGATCACAGAGGGTGGGATTTACTACATATATATAATAGTTCACACAGGACACTTTCAGCAGGGCTCTGCAAAAGGACAACAGATCTCATACTTGCTGCAGCAGGAAACTTGACATCCAGCCATGTATGTAGCCTTCTATTATACTATATTATACTGAGAGAATAGTCGTTCATATTTACATCTACTTTAAGTCAAATGTAAGGTTTAATATGCCTAATAGTTGTTTATGGGATTTCAATGTTTAGTCACGTTTTTCCAATTTGTTTTTTTTCATAAATCAAAAGTAGTTTAATGCGGTGTAGATTTTCTACAATTCACATTTTGATATTGATAACATTATATATGATATTGATGACCTCAGCAAATCCTAAAAACAAAGTATGATCTGAGAAGCTATTTCATGGAAAAAGAATTTTTCAGCCATAGTCCATCAGTAAATATGCACCCAAACTGTATTGACTGAAATTAGACAGGATTTTCCTTAAGAAAAGCAATGATTACAAGGCAAGAAAATTAAGGAGGCTTATACAGAAAGGGGGGGAGGACTGAAGTGAGTGTGAGCCAGGCATTATCTAGCCTGCTATCTCGCCACAGTTAGTTACTGTTTAGTTAGTTATCCTTTGGATAATGGGCCAAGTGTCTACATGTTGTAGTTATTGACATTCTCCACAGTAGTTTGGTAGTTACTCACAGGTGACTTTACTTCCATAAATCAGTATTTCACAAAGATTCAATGTCTGATGCCTGCAGAACGTAAAAAAATAGAATAATAAATGAGAAAAAAGCTGCCATGGGCTGGTTAATATTGTCTTGGCTACATGTGTAGACATTTGTATGACTGTATGTACGTGCAGAGCAGTGCACTGTATCACTTATTATCAGCCAAACAAGGTAGCTTATTAGCCAAATTACAGTGCCATAAAATGATCATACACCCTTCATTAAACAAGGGCTGCCACCTTTATGATTTTGTTAAGGTTAGATTTCAGCTGGCCAGACCAGCGGTGCGGGGCTAGTGGGTTGGAAAATGTAGGGTTGAGAGTTTAGGTAGTTTTTCATGCTTTTTTTGTTTTTTTATTTTTTTTGGACAGTGAAAAAATATACTGTTTGCTATTTTACATGCTTACTGTGTGTCCTAGTTGCACATTGGTCCCATTTGCACAACAGTGCTACTCTTTATGCTCACTATACAATCCCAATTCCAAAAAAGTGATAATAGGTAAAATGCAAATAAAACAGAAAGCAGTGATTAGTGAATCCACTTTGACCTGTATTCAAATGAAAGCAGTGCAAAGTCAAGATATTTACATCTTATTTAATTCCTTTTAATTTTTTTATTTTTTATTATTTTTTTTTTTGGTAATGTAAGCTCATTCTGAAACTGATGCCTGCAACATGTTACAAAAAAGGGCAATTTAAGATAGGGAACATTGTTAAACATTATAAAAGAGGTGGTGTAAACATGCTGGAGTATAAAAGGAACATACAAGAAATGCCCAGTGATTTATAAGCATGCATTGGTGGAGGCTTGCCACTTTGCCAAAAAATGCACCAGCAAATGGTCCAACTGTTTAAGAACAATGTTTCTCAATGAGCAATTGCAAGGATTTTAGATATTTCACCCTCTACAGTGCATCATGTCATCAAAAAATTCAGGGAATCTGGAAAAATCTCTGTGCATAAAAGTTAAGCCCCAAAACCAAAACTCAATGCCCCTGACCTTTGACCCCTCAAATGGCACTGCATTCTGTGATACCACCACATGAGCTCAGGAATACTTCGACAAACTGTTGTCAATAAACACTCTTTGCTGCTGTATCCACAAATGCAAGTTAAGACTGTGCTTTGCACATTGGAAGTCATATGTCAACAACTTCCAGAAACACTGCCGATTTCTTTGGGCTTCATCTGAAATGAACTGACTTTTGTTGTGTGTTTAGTGAATATTTGTCTCTACTCTCTGGCAGACAAGTGCTGTACACTGTGTTCCCTGTTGCTATGGTCATGCCACTGCTGATCTAAAACACATGCAGGCCAACAATAACTGACTATTCCTCTTATTCTAGTGATGCACAACTCCGCTTAATTTTAACTAAGTGTCAAAACTATTGACAAAGGGATAAAACAGAGATGAAACCATCTTAAAATTGGTTTAACCACTTTTTTGAGTAGCTAGAGATTTCTTTCTCAGTGGAGCACTTTACTCTGTTGTCAGTCAGCTAGTCAGGAGAAATGTCTCTGTGTCTTTGTCAGCAATTAAATTGATCAATGTTTATGAATTATTGAATAGAAAATGGTTGACCTATTTTTTTTTTATTTATAAATTTGATGTTTTAAATGTTTAAATTGTAAAGTATCATATTAATAAATTATAAAATATATCTAATAATCTTAATATTCAGTCCAAAATCTCTGAAAATGGATAGCATATTACCAGCATGATTAGATTCATTTCCAGTGAATTGATAAGGCCTAGGCCTACCTAATTATGTTATTAAATTTTCTCTAGCCTGTTGGTAAATAATATTCAGGAAAACCTTCAACATTCAATCAGATATCTAATTAGAATACTACATAACATAAAACGTTACTTAAACAACAACATGCCATATCTGCCTCAGGGGAGACTGGGGTAAAAGGAACTGAGTGATTCCCCTCTGTCTGCTCTTTAGCAGCTCAGACATGGTTATCACCCGCCGCATGTGGGTGAGCAACGGAAAAAACTTTACGACAAAGTGCACAGTTTGCCCTGTACTCATTACCAAGAACTGACCCACAGGTTTCCTGTCTCCCATTCTGATCTATACTTTGACAGCCTTTTGCATTTCACAAGACTTTTTTTAAAACTATGCAAAAAAAAAACCCCACAAGTCTCTGTAACCTAGAAAAATGATGACATTGACGTGCAGTTGCACTCAGCGGTAGTCTGTCTCTCACCTATTCTGCTGATTTTTAGCTACTCCGCTTGTTCATAGTGAAACTGGTTTCATCCACCATTATGTTATTCGCAGAGGTGGACAAAGTACACAAATCATGTAGTTAAAGTAGAGATACCCAAAGTAAAATATTACTCCATCAAAAGTAGAAGTCCTCCCTTTAGACCTCCACTTGAGTAAAAGTACAAAAGTATTTGCCTTCAAATGTACTTAAGTATTGAAAGTAAAAGTACTTTTTTTGTAACAAGATTCGCTTCATTAACTCATTTTAGGTGAAAATACTCCAGTGTCACTCTTGGTAAACCAATCTTTTAATAGAATGTCATTAACTAGTCTGACGTTGATGTCTATTAAATTGATCATAAGCACAAAACGCTGAAGGCAAACAATTTTCATTAGGAAGAACTGAGTGGCTCTGAAATAACTTTTTGTGAACAAGCAAAGTTTCAGTTTAAGATTTATCAGTTACAAGTTTAAGTTTAATAAAAACTTGCTTTAAACTCAGGTTCACCAATGAGTTTTCCTTTATTATATTGCATCTGTAGGTCTCTGTTCATAAACATAAACTAGCAAAAACAAATTTACTATAAAATGAAATAGTGTTTGTATAAATTCAGAGAAAAGACACGTCAGTCACAACTGCATATGTGTACATATTTCTATATTGTGGTCTATTTACACAAAGTTTGGTTAGTTCCATCATTTATGTTGGAAAAGACACTCCCAAAATTTTACGCTGCTGCACTGATGTTGAACCATATGCTTGCACTGGGTCGGTATGTCCAACAGGTCAAAACAAGCTCAAAACAAAATGCGTGCTGTTTGGTGTTCTTGCTTTGCTCTTCTTTCGTTTTGACGTTACATTTTTATGCAAACAAAAGCCAAAAGGAACGACAGATTTTGCATAATGTAGTGGAGTAAAAAGTAAGATACAGTAAAGTACAGATACACGAAAAAGCTACTTAAGCACAGTAACGAATTACATTTACTTAGTTACTGTCCACCACTGGTTATTTGCACCGCTGTAATGACCTAGTATATATATGAGACAATGTATAAAAAAATACAGGACTAATCGTGTCCCGTATTGAGTCAAAAAGAGACGCATCATTTTATTTTTCAATATAGGACAATCTCGTATTATAACGGATAGGTGTCAACTCTATAGATTATGCTCCTTGTGTGGTTAGTGCCAAACTAGTGGGGTTAGCTCAGCATTAGGCTGGATGTCAACTGTAATTTAAATAAAGACATATTAAGCTCATACGTTTTGTCACAGTTTTCAAACTTTTACCTAAAGCCTTGAACTCAAGGTTTGTCTTTCACTATTGAGGTCTAAGCCTTTTAGCCAGTTAAAGAGAGTCTGTTAGCCGCAGTAATGAGTGACGCTTTCATTCCCAAACTTGACATTTCAGCTACAATCTCAAAATATAATGAAAAATAAAAATAAGCAGGATTTAATGTGCATTCTTGCCCTGATTAAACCATGTGATGAAATGTGTAGCTGTTGCATGTTAATGATTATGGACCAAAACTTGGAGCATAAAAATTATGGAACTAAATTAGAGCACAGCACAGCCACATCCATTCAGAAATGACTGCCTCTCTGCCCCATAATCTACCACATGACTGGTGTAAATGACTTTTCAAAGCATGCACGAAAAGAAGGGCATCAGATTGGAGACTTTCAGTAGTACTAGCTGGTGAGTTAGCTACACTATATTGCCAAAAGTATTCCCTAGTCTGCCTTCACACGCATATGAACTTGGGTTACATCCCATTCTTAATCCATAGGGTTTAATATGATGTCGGCCCACCCTTTGCAGCTATAACAGCTTCAACTCTTCTGGGAAGGCTTTCCACAAGGTTTAGGAGTGTTGACCGTTCTTCCAGAAGCGCATTTGTGGGACACTGATGTTGGACGAGAAGGCCTGGCTCACAGTCTCCACTCTAATTAATCCCAAAGGTGTTCTGTCGGGTTGAAGTCAGGACTCAGTCAAGTTCTTCCACACCAAACTCGCTCATCCATGTCTTTATGGACCTTGCATTCAGAGCTCCTTTCACTGGAACTAAGGGGCCGAGCCCAACTCCTGAAAAACAACCCCACACCATAATCCCCCCTCTACCAGACTTTACACTTGGCACAATGCAGTCAGACAAGTACTGTTCTCCTGGCAACCGCCAAACCCAGACTCGTCCATCGGATTGCCAGACGGAGAAGTTTGATTCGTCACTCCAGAGAACACGTCTCCACTGCTCTAGAGTCCAGTGGCGGCACTTTACACCACTGCATTCCACGCTTTGCATTGCGCTTGGTGATGTAAGGCTTGGATGCAGCTGCTCAGCCATGGAAACCCATTCCATGAAGCTCTCTACGCTGTTCTTGAGCTAATCTGAAGGCCACATGAAGTTTGGAGGTCTGTAGCGACTGACTCTGCAGAAAGTTGGTGACCTCTGCGCACTATGCGCCTCAGCATCCGCTGACCCCGCTCTGTCATTTTACGTGGCCTACCACTTTGTGGCTGAGTTGCTGTCGTTCACAATCGCTTCCACTTTGTTATAATACCACTGACAGTTGACTGTGGAATATTTTGTAGCGAGGAAATTTCTCGACTGGACTTGTTGCACAGGTGGCATCCTATCACGGTACCACGCTGGAATTCACTGAGCTTCTGAGAGCGACCCATTCTTTCACAAATGTTTGTAGAAGCAGTCTGCAGGCCTAGGAGCTTGGTTTTATACACCTGTGGCCATGGAAGTGATTGGAACACCTGAATTCAATGATTTGGATGGGTGAGTGAATACTTTTGGCAATATAGTGTAGCTCTCTCAGTTAGCTACAGCATCTTGACAAGATGGAGTGGAGCTGAAAGAAAAAAAATAAAAATGGGAGTTACCTTAGTTTGCTAGCATTAGTTAGACTAGCCAGTGAACTGTGTGGATTTGCTGCAAGGTCGCGCTGATCAGTATGATTCGTTTTGGCGGCTTTTGCCACTTTGTGTTCTGAGTTTGTCAGCACACAGTAAAAAAATGTGTTATCAACCATTCAACTTTGTTTGCAACATAATGATGCACCATTAAAGGTGGAATGAAAAAATCTAATAAAAAAAAATAAAAAATCGAAGTTGAAAGTTTAAGCTTTGTGTTCACCAGAATGTAACTGCTGCACTATTTAAGGTGGGACAGGAAAATTCAGCTGTAGTACAATTTAGTACTACATGGGTACTCCCTGAGTTTTAATGTTAATGTTTAATGTTAACTTAATCTCTATTTTTTGTGGCTGTTCTTGTATCAAACTGTGCAGCACAATACCGTCAAATTAGACAATTTAGTGACTTTAAATGAAGTCAAATAAATTGGATTTGTTGATAGATAGATTTAGTAGAATTGTTTATTCGCTCTATGCTCAACTCAAAAGCACAATAGATCCAGCCCCATGCTTAACATTTGGCAAGGTGTACTTTTGTTGAAATGCTGCTCTCTTTTTGTCTAAACATATCTTTGGTGCTTGCAGTTTCATTTTTGTTGCACCAGTTCACAGCACTTGAATCCAAAATGCCATTGATTTATACTTCAGACGTTGACTTGAGACCACAGTTAAGGCTACCATCTGATGGTGTGGAGATTTTGCTTTGCGTTCCTGACCAATCCACAATTTTTTTTTTTAGAACACTTTCTTGGTCTTCCAGCTCTTGTCTTGATGTCAACAGTTCTCCTTAACTTCCATTTTTTAATGAATATTTAATTAATGGATACTGTCAATTACGAGAAGGAGGTTAATAAAATTGGTTCATAATGCGTAATCTGACTCAGATCAAGGCTTTAAAGTCAAACATGCTCAGAGATATTACAAAAGAAATAACGCTAGTGTATTGACTGAAAGGGTGCCCAAGCTTTTGCACGTTATTTAATTTTTTCCCCAAAATGTTCAATTCAGCAATTTTCTGGCAATTGTGCATTAAATTTTGCCTTTTAAGTCTAAGTCTGAATAGAAACAATGTTCTTAAATGTGTTCTTGAGAAAGGTCCTAAGAAAAAGTATATGTCAGATTCATGAACCAGAAAACTGTTTGCTCCTTTGTGCTCTTGAGTTTATGTAGACAGACAATTGAGAGCACTGCAGCATTACATTTGGTAAATGTCAGAACCTTTGTGAAAACTGCGTAAGTGGGTTTTAAGAAGAAATTTCTTCTTAAGAATGGTTGGTGAATGAGACCCATTGTGTTTACTATGATGTTGAGAGATAACTGTCAAAGTATGAAGTAAAACATTGGGAAAAAGACGATGTTCAAGCTCCATGGAACCACTTTGTCGCTCCAGGCTAATCCAAATGTCTCTCTTAACTTACTATTTCTGGACCTTTATAAATAAAATCTAATTAAATATGTCCATTCAGATACAAAATTGTGTCAATATAATAAAGTTCAGACTGTGTCTAGTTTTCGGATTCAGAAAAAGACGATTTTCTTTTTTAATTTATTTGAATTTTTGATTATTTCATATCTGTGTTGTTCTTTTTCGCCAGGAAAGGCAAGAATTTCAAAGATGACCTGGAATTCCTTTTACAAGGTGTATCAGAATTTGACATCCAGGGTGAGGCTGTGCCATCTGACATATTGGTGCATGGATCTTCAGCATTTCCTATTGGACTCACCCCAGATGGAAAGACATTCCTTGCTGGAGCTTACTTTGGACAGGGACGGGTGATTGTGACCAGCCATGAAAGTTACTTGGGCCGTGAATCACTGTCCACTTTCATGATCAATGCTGTGCAATGGCTTGATAAAAGTCATAATGGGGTTATCGGTGTCTTACCTGAACTGAAAGATGCATATATGCTGCTGAGCAAGTCTGGGCATCGATGTCAGTTCACTGAGTTTATGAAAGACCTAAGTGTCTTTGTCTGCACCTCATACAGTGATGCTCGGTCTAAAGACATCCAGGAATTCGTTGCTGGAGGTGGTGGTCTTCTGATTGGGGGACATGCTTGGTATTGGGCCCAAAGCAACCCTGGCCGCAATGTGATGACAGATTGCCCTGGAAATCGTATCCTCAGTAAGATGGGATTGTGCCTCTTAGATAAAACTGTAAATGCTGGGTTGTACAAGGCTCCACATGTTTTCCGAGATGACATAGAGTTTCTTTTACAAGGAGTATCTGAGTTTGACATCCAAGGTGAGGCTGTACCATCTGAAGTATTGGTGCATGGTCCTTTAGCATTTCCTGTTGGACTCACTCCGGATGGAAAGTCATTCCTGGCTGGAACATATTTTGGACAGGGACGAGTAATTGTGGCCAGCCATGAAGTCTATCTAGGCCGTGAATCTCTGTCCACTTTCATGATCAATGCTGTTCAGTGGCTTGATAAAAGGCGTACTGGGGTTATTGGAGTCTCACCTGATATTAAAGAGGCCTACTGTCTGCTGAGCAAGTCAGGACTAGAGTGCAGGTTGACTGGTTTAGAGAAGGGCCTGAGTGTCTTTGTCTGTACATCATACAGTGATGCTCAGTGTAAAGAGGTCCAGGAATTTGTTGCCAGCGGTGGCGGCCTCCTGATTGGTGGACATGCTTGGTGGTGGGCCCACTGCAACCCTGGTAGCAATGTGATGACAGATTGCCCTGGAAATCGCATTCTGGGCAAGATGGGATTGTATCTACTGGACACAACTGTGAAAGCTGGGTTGTACAAGGCCCCACAGCTTTTCAGCTATGCTCTAGAATTCCTTTTACAAGGAGTTTCTGAGTTTGACATTCAAGGCGAGGCTGTACCGTCTGAGATATTGGTGCATGGTCCTTCAGCATTTCCTATTGGACTCACTCCAGATGGAAAGGCATTCCTTGCTGGGGCTTACTTTGGACAGGGCCGTTTAATTGTGGCCAGCCATGAAGTCTATCTAGGCCGTGAATCACTGTCCACTTTCATGATCAATGCTGTCCTCTGGCTTCATAGAAAACCTAATGGGGTTATTGGAGTCTTACCTGAACTTAAGGAGGCCTACTGTCTGCTGAACAGTGTGGGACTACAGTGTGAGTTGACTGGGTTTAAGGAAGACCTAAGTGTCTTTGTCTGCACCTCCTACAGCGATGCTCAGCCTAAAGAGATCCAGGAATTTGTTGCTGGTGGTGGTGGCCTCCTGATTGGGGGACATGCTTGGTGGTGGGGCTCTTGTAATCCTGGCCGCAATGTTCTGACAGATTGCCCTGGAAATCATATCCTCAGCAAGATGGGATTGAGCCTCTCGGATAAAACTGTGAATGCTGGGAAGTACACAGCACCACAGGTGAAGCAACATGGCATTTCCTCTATACAGATTTATAATTTCCAGGATTTGCTTCAGCATTTTGCACAACATGTGCTTCAGGGTCAGCAGCTGGGAGATTATGAACAGCAATTTCTGAAGAAGCTTGGCAGTGATTGTGTCAGTTATCTCCGCATGCAGGCATTCGACTGTGACATGTATAAGTCAGTAGTTGCACTTCTCACAGACATAGTTAAGGCAGGCTTTCCACAGGTGTCTCCTACACGTCCTGTTATAAGTGCAAAGGATCACCTGCTCCTCCAGGTGGGGACAGAGTTATCCAGGCTCTGCAAAGACACCGATGAACTTCTGTCATACCTCATCATAGACACACCTAAACTACCAACTGTGTTCAATGCAAGAGTCTGGATCAGTGCTAACACAGCAGGTAAAGAACAATAACTAACTCGGTTATCATGCTTTTCCCTATAGATTTCCCTACAAATACAGATCGCACAGTTAATGAAATGGAAAAAATGAAAATATAAGCTCTCTGAACAAAAACAATTGTTGCATCATTTCTTCTTTAATATTTGGTTGAGCATGTCATTGCCTTAAAGACTGGGCCAGTCTATTCAGGTAAGAATTATTCCAGTTTCTTTCCTGTGTATATTAGCCCACTCTTACACTAACTTTGTGCTTCATATCTAAACAGAACACAACACTGACACTCGCACATTACAGAATGACAAATGTAGGTGTCTGTTTCTGATTAGTTCAGCAGACATGATGGCACACTGGGCCAGTTTGACTGACTAGCAAAATTATCAGTCCTCAATCCCAGTTCTCAATTTGGAGCAGCAGGTTCAGAAAAGCTGATACACACCCAGTTTGTGAAAGAGTGGGCTCGATAAGACTGGTGTAATCCTTCCCTGACCGGATTGGTGCTGTTATTACCCTTAGAACCCTAAACCTAAGTGGCAGTTTGCTAGGCTTCATAAGTCAGGAAAGGGTTAACTTACAAACATGATACATAGGTGTATCATATCTGTAAGTTAACCCTTTCCTGACTTGCAGGAGCACAAGATAGAACCATGCAAATTGCACCAAAGTGCATGCTTAAGATTTTAGGGGTTAAAGCATGTAGACATGTAACCGTGTATAAGTATGTAAAAGAAATGAAGCATGTGACTAGTTTAGTGTATTTGTTTAGTTATGTGTTTATTTATATGGAAGAAATACAAAATTTTTGATTAGACTAACTTATTGCAAGCGAGGAAAAACACTCATGCAAAGAAAATGATTCTTTGCACAAGCAAAACCACTCACATGCAGAACTACTTGCACAAGGTAAAGCACTCTCCTATTAAGCATCTGCTCGCAGGATGGTTGTCAGAGCTCTTGCTGCATGATAAACCCAGGAATACGACTTTGCACCAATCCAATGGCGTTAGCCAAAACTCTGCCTGTAATTGCTTAATTCTATTTTGTGAATGCATAATTGTAAATTGTTATGATATCACAGCAAGTTAAAGAAGGCCTGTGCAGCACGACAATGGCAGCATACTAAACACAATGTTGGCACATCACCACTATGAGCACATTTTTTTTCCAATCAAGATTAGCAAGTAGCAAGATTACGCACAAATTAATGAGAACACAAGTTGACATAAACCCAACAACCAGTGGCAACATGCATGAAGCATGCACCTGGTCTTGACAACCAAAATATTTACCCCACTGAAGACGACAAATTACAGTCGGCAGCTTAAGTGTGCATAAAAATGGATACAGATAACTGCTGACTAGGATTAATCAACTCGGGTGGTTGACATTTTGTATTTAGCAGGAGTGATTAATTGAGATTAGTGAACATTCACAAAGATAGAATACACCATTGTATTGGTGAACTCTGTAGGGCCTCTTCTAGGGTGAAAGTTGGATTCCTGGGGTTTTTCATGCAGTGTGCAAGTAGAGTGTACACGTGACTGCTTTATTTCATGCAAGTAGTTCTCTCAGTGAAGAATCATTTTCCTCGTGTGCGAGAGTGGTTCTTTCGCTCCCAAATTTGTTATCCTCACTCACAAATTTTGAATTGGATTTGATACGATATATAACTAATTAATCGTTTCTAGTGCAGTAATGCACACAGACCTGCTAACGTTATCATTAGAGTAGAAATAATTTGAATAGCAATACAAAGTTCTTGTAATCAAACTACCTACATAATGGTGCTTGGACTGCCATGTAAGATTTGTTCATGTGTCGTTCCTTTATTTTTCCACGTGGAGTGAAATAGCCTTTTTGAGGGCATCTTATGGCATTGTTGATCTCGATGAAAGTATGATACAGAAGATAAGACAGGTGTTTAATGGCTGGAAAAACACTGTGCACAAGGAGGTATAATCCTTGTAGTTTTATTCGACACTCCAGGCTGAGGTTTGGGTGAGCTTTGGCTGTAATGGCATCTAATAAAATAAACATTAGCTGAGCATCTTTCAATTACCAAATGTTTAATATTTTCAGTCAGCTTGCTTTCTTGTTGCCCTGTGATGGACTGGCGACCTGTCCAGGTTGTTTCCTGCCCTAAACCTGATGACTGCTGGGATAGGCTCCAGCACCCCCTGTGACACAGAAGGATGAGCAGCTTAGACAGTGTGTGTGTGCTTTCTCGTTTCAGATGATGAAGAATGGATAGGTACAGGTCTGTATCTTTCTCCTGGAATGAAGACCAACATTACAGTGCCTGGGACAATCACAGGAAAGGGTTGGCAGGTATCACTTCATTATTCTACCCCTTTTTAATTTTAATGTGAGATTTAAGGGATGATATTAAGACAAAGAATGTCATTTCCCCCCTGGATCATTGTTTTATAAATATTGCTGTATTATAGCTATTCCTTTTTTCCCCTTTCTCTTTTGTTCTTCTTGGTTTTGTGTGTGTGGCCCACAGCAGCAGTTACTCCTAGGTTAAATAGGAGACTAACCTGGTATCAATATGTCTGGTTTGCAATGAAATGTCACAAACCTGTGGCAACCAAACTATTTTAATCTTGTATTGTGGGTTTTTTGATGTTTGTAATTAAACACCTCATACTTGCAGGTGCAGATTGGCTGTCAAACAGATGACATAAGCAGGGCAGATGAACTGAAACGAGCTCCGGTGGTGTTTGTACGTTTCCCTTTGGAAAAAGAGAATCTGCAAGTCTGGAATCTGTGGGGAGGACTCATATACCTGATCGCACCTCCTAGAACTACAGTACCTGAGATGGAGGTCGTCATACAGACAGCTGTAAAAGCACCGTACTACAAGTCTGGTACATTTATTTAATACTTACTCATTCTTAGTAAGCCAAAGTGAGCTACTGCAGTACATGATAAAAGTAAAAACTATGAATATTAACCATTCTCTCAGGAGAGACCAGCGTATCTGACTGGGTCGCTGAGATCCGTAAAGCACCAGCACCTTGGGCAGAGCTGGAGTTTGAGAATCTCATCATCACCTTGCCATCAGATGTGATACGACACCTGGACCGTCCAGACGAAGTGGCCGCTCTCTGGGATTCCATTATGAGGAGTGTAGCTGACTTGGCCGCTAAGCCTGCAAAGTTTACCCGCAAGGAACGCTTCGTCGCTGATGTTCAGATCTCAGCTGGTCTGTATTGTGTAAAAGTGTTTTATCAGAACTTAAATAAAAGAACCAGCATTACTCCATTAATGTTCCCACCACCATTAGTGATTACATGATTTACAGGCATTTACCATAATGAACTAATCAGATTACTTAAAGATGATGGTCTTGTTTTCACAGGCTTTATGCATGCAGGTTACCCCATTATGATGCACTCTAGGTCTGCCTCTGACTTGGTGAAACCATATGCTGCTGGTAAAAGTGATTTTTGGGGCCCAGTCCATGAATTGGGCCATAACCAGCAACGCTCAGTCTGGGAGTTCCCACCACACACTACTGAATGTACCTGTAACCTGTGGTCTGTATATGTACATGAGGTGGTGCTGGGTGTGAACAGGGCAAACGCTCATGGGGCAATGACAGCAGACGAACGACGGAGCCGAATTAAGAGATACATCGAAGGAGGTCGACATCTGGAGGACTGGAATGTTTGGACAGCACTGGAGACTTACATGCAGGTCAGGGATGCAGGGATGTCTTAAACCTACATTACTGCAGCCTAATGTAAATCAAAGGTAGTCAGCGTTGCCTGCCTAAATAAAGTCATCAATATGATTGAGATTACTGACCGTTCTGGTATATATCATGGTATAATGTATTATTACATTCTGGATGCTTGGTAAACCTTTTATTGTAGATTAACAATGACTTATTTTGGATTTGTCTTCACTTTTAATAAGAACCATATTTAAAAATCAAAGTAAATCTAAAATATTTTTTATTGGGTGAAATAGTAAAAACAGAAATGAACAATATACAAACAGATGTCATTATTGCTTTCCAGCCCTAACAAGATAAAGATGTGTATGTAAACTGCTAGCGGCTTTTCTGAGCTCAGCAAAAACGGTGCTGAATGTTGTTTTACATCCAAAAGTTATTTGTCTCATATGGCTATGTTCAGACTGCCAACCCAAATCCAAATTTTTGTCATATCCAGATTGTCTTTTCATAGTCTGGACAGCAAAAAAAAAAAACAAATAAGATTTTTGCAAATTGGATCCAAATCACATTTGTAGGTGGTTTGAAATGCAATTCTGATCAAATTTTTACTTATGTGTCTCAGCCTGGAGGCTCAAATCAGATTTCAAAGTGTCTTTTGTGCGACTGCAAATGCGACAAACAACGACGATGTCAAATTCAGGGTGATGAAGTGCTGGAATTCAAGAAGCCAGATCGTTTTTAAGAGTTTGGAGGGCAAGATGATACATCTCCATCTCTTATGCATAAGCATTTGAAATCTGTGTCACCAGCATAACTACATAATTACTGATGCCTACATTAGGCCTCTCAGAGTTTGAAAGCCGAACGGTACCGAAAAGCAAGACATTATGCTGATGATACTGTAGCTCAGCATAGATGTGTGTATATAGTCTATTCATGCAATTTTACTAAATCTTTTTTTTAAACAAGTTTACGTAGATTATCAACATAATTTGAAGCAAATTCTGGCATGTATTCATGGAAAGACTTTTGGTGACTACTGACTTCCAGTGTTTGTTAGCACCACTGTTAACACCAGTTCTAAACTAAAGAAAATTTAAAATAAAACAAAATTTGGATGCCAAAACATAGATGAGTGTCTGCATAAGGGCTAAGTGGGAATTAGCATTTTCGCCAAAAATATTCCTTTAATTTAACGTTTTTAAATGTGAGATTTTAGCTTGTCACACTGCTTCTGTCAGTAAGCCGTGACATGTTGATACAGCCCACAACCCCGTTTCCAAAAATGTTGGGACACTGTGCAAAATGTAAATAAAAACAAAATTCAATCACGTGCAAATCATTTAAACCCTACATTTCATTGGAAATAGTACAAAGACAACAAATCAAATGTTGCAACTGAGAAATTTTATTATTTTTTGAAAAATATATGCCCATTTTGAATTTGATGCCAACAACACATTCCACAAAAGTTGGAATGTAGTCTTTCACAGAGTGGTGAACCCCTCTCCATCTTTACTTCTGAAAGACTCAGCCTCTCTGAGATGCTCTTTTTATGCCCAATCATGTTAACGACCTGTTGCCAATCAACCACCAGGTGTTTTTTTAGCATTACACAACTTTACCAGCCTTTTGTTGCCCCCATCCCAACTTTTTGGAACGTGTTTCTGGCATCAAATTCAAAATGGGCAAATATTTTTCAAAGACCAATACAATTTCTCAGTTTCAACATCTGATATGTTGTCTTTAAAGCATTTTCAATTAAATTTAGGGTTTAAATGATCTGTACATCATTGCATTTTGTTTTTATTTACATTTTTCACAGTGCCCCAAATTTTGGAAATGGGGTTGTACTCAAATGTGCATGAGTGAGCACTGAAGAGGAGCCTTTGCATACCAGCGCTTGCTAGCCTCTCCTACCTCGACTGCAGCCTTTTCTTTGAGACATGTCTCATTTTGACAAGAGCACCATTGTCAATACTTTGAGCTCCTCCTACTCTGGGTGTTGGATTGTGGAGAAAAGTCTCAGTTTGTTCCTGGTGTAATGAGTCTCCATTCCCACCAACTTTTAGCCAGAATTCCCTCATGGTTCTGGTTCCCCAAATGTAGATTGTTGTTATGCGATCATATCCGGAACAGCAAGACTAGAAGTTGTGTGACTTGACTATATCTCTGACGCAGATACATCACTGCATGCTTCCTTTCATTTTAGATTCATTTTGGAGTGATTTCATGCTTAATATTTTAATTTACACAAGTACAGTCAGTAATATTCCTTTAACCAAAAGGTATTTTTAACACTGTACTTGGCTTGTAAAGCACCACAGACCATGAAAACCTTGTTATTTGAAACCAAAAAAAGTTGAATTCACACTGAAAATAGAAAACAAGTTTTTGATGTCTACAAAGCACTCATGTGAAACATATTCCATTCTATCAGCACTTCTTCGTCATCGCCTGTAAGTTGTATCCTTGATTTTTCTTTTAAAGCTGCAAGAAAAGTTTGGCTGGGATGCCTTCAAGAAAGTCTTTGCAGCTTACCATGACATGAAGAACATACCAAGAGACAACAGTGGCAAGATGAACCTGTACGCTGAGACCTTCTCCAAGGCCGTAAGGAGGAATCTGGTCTCCTTCTTCAAAGCCTGGGGCTGGCCCATCCAGCGCAGCACTGAAGAGAAGCTGTCCAGCCTGCCTGAATGGCGTGACCATCCTCTCGTCCAGTATGAATAGCTGAAATGTCAATGTTTCATGGAGAATAGTGTCTGTCTCAGGATATAAACATTTCATGGTTCAGATAGTCCTCAGAAATCATTTAAAGAGTATACGTGTATTTTAAAATGATTTTTCTCAGTTTATTTCTCTAAAATGTTTTCACATAGATACGTTTATGAATGGCATTTGCTTTTGGCAGGAGTCAAAATCAGTCTTTTCGGATCATGTTTACGTTACTGGTGGTTTAATAGTTGACCTGTGACTGATTCTAAATGCAGTTCCCTTTAGGAAGCAAAGTCATCAGGTTTTAATCCTAATGGTTCTTTGTTCAGCAGGGCCTTTTCCCTGCAGGTTTTAGGGTCCTCTGTGAAATTACACCAGGGTTTTCCTTGTAAACTCAGACTAAACACGAGGAATTGAGAATATTAAAATAGCACATTATCTAATATAATCTTTCTGTCTTTAACATGTTCATTACTGTAATAAAATCATCATCATCATTTGCCACTATCAGAAAGAATCAGTTTAATGCTAAAAAGCAATATGATGCACCAGAGTCACATTTACTTATAGAATACATGTTTAAAATGATTCTTTTTTACTTTGTTTGCCTGTAAATTATGCATCTTAATCATTTTGCTTTCACCACTGTGCCTTACAACATGCTCAGTATGTGCAAATATATAACAATCTGCACATTTGGATTGGATTATTGGTTAAATATAAGACAATGACACTGTAATGCACAAGTCGTTTTCTTGTACTACAAGTTCCTTAATGAAATTAACGAAAAATAAAAGCAACAGCAAAAAAAAAAACCCACCTTTTTCATGACTTCAATTTTATGTAGTTTCTTTTTGAATTGAGCATTAACACCATGCACTGAAAGTAAACTGATTAGACCATAAACACGCACCTTCCATATATGTTTTCCAAGACTCGCTGTGTAGTTTTACCACCTTATAAAAACAGCCATACCACATTTTAATGAATTTCTGTCTTGCACTGTAGTTGCAATTATATGGTGGTTTACATATGTATATGAACACAAGATTGTCCATGTTCAAAAGATTGTGCCACATTGTGATCTGGTATATCATATTTCTGGTGTGTCCAGTTTAAGAAGTAATGTTATAATATGTTACTGGCATTTACTGTACAAATCCAATTCCAATAATGTTTCAATAATGCCAATAAAAACACAAAGCAGTGATTAATAAATTCTGTTTGACCTGTTTTAAAGTGAAAATGGTACAAAACCACAAAATTTTATGTTTTGCCTTATAAACTTCATTGGGCCTCATTCACCAAATATGTCCCTTTTTTCTTAGATTTTCATTTACATTTATGGCATTTAGCAGACGCTCTTATCCAGAGCGACTTACTTTTTGTTCATTTTACACAGGTAGGCGAAGGTAGTGTTAGGAGTCTTGCCCAAGGACTTGACAGTATAGTGTAGTGTGCTTGACCAGATGGGGGATTGAACCCCAGTCTACAGTGTACAAGGCAGTGTACAGTATAGAAGGCAGAAGTGTTACCCACTGCACTATACCAACCACTATTTATTCATGAGAAAGATTCTAAGAAAAAGTCTACGTCAGATTCCTGATGCTTTTAGAACTGTTCGTACCTTTGTGCCCTTGAGTGTGGGTAGATTCTGTTCTTATTTAATGCCAAAACCTAAATAAGAAAACACTGGTGAACATCAGAATCTTCTTGATTGTGCAGGTGGGTTTTAAGAAGAAATTTCTTTTTAAAAATGGTGGGTGAATGAAGCCCATTGTTTTTTTGTAAATATATGCTTATTTCAAACTTGATGCCTGCAATACATTCCAAAAAACAGGAGCATGTTCACCGCTATGTTACATCACCTTCTTTGTAACAGCACTTAATAAACATTCGGAGAAAGAGGATACAAAGTTTAAAGGCAGCATATCGCTGCTGTCGGAACAAAACCTCGTATCTTAATTTTTCAGGTTTTGAGGTTTCATAGCTGTTGGCCTTTACATTGTGCATAAATTTCATGATGAATTGGACCAAAAGAAACGGCCCAAAATGACTTGGAAAAATGTCTGGTTCCATTGACTTACATTAAAAGTAGAGTATGTTTTTTCCTTCTCCTGTAAAGTTACCATTTTTGAGATACAAGGTTCTGGTCCAACATCAGCGATATGTTGCTTCAGCATTAATGATACTTTCACAGATGTGCAGGTTATCCAGCAATTACCCACCTCCATACCATGACAGAGCCTGGCTTTTGACCTTCATGCTAGTAACGATCAGGATGGTCCTTTTCTTTGGCCCAGAGAACATTAATTCCATAAACATCAGGAAGGTTGACTTGTCAGACCACAATACAGTTTTCCACTGTGCAGCAGTCCATTTTACACAAACTCCAGCTCAGAAAAGTCGGCAGCATTTCTGGGCATTGTTGACATACGACTTTCAATGCTCATAGTCCAGTCTTAAATTACGTTTGTGCATGCAGTGACAAATGGTGTTTATTGACAATGGTTTGTCAAAGCATTCCTGAGCCTATGTGATGTAGGGATTGGGTCATAATTCCACCTTAGAAAGTCAGAGGTTTTCAACAGCTCCAACTTCTCTGAGCTGCAGTTCAGTGAGAGCACTTCATCATTGCAGCACACATAGAACAAGAAGTAATAGTGTTTTTTCCAGCTTTTCATGCAGCCTCTTGATATTTGTGTATAAGATGCTATTTACAGAGGTGGAACAAATTATATTTACTCTTGTTTCTGTACTTGAGCACATTTTTACTTGTAATGGTATTTTGGAGTGTATTTAAGTCTTAAAACTTTTACTTGAGTTCAATGAAATACTTTACTGGAATAATTTATCATCTCTATTTTAATTTTTAATAGTGTTACAAACCAAAAATAACATATGAGCATAACAACTCAAACCAATTAGAAAAAATATCCCAGTCAAATGTCAAATATTCAGTTCTGAAAACGAATCAAAACAAAGCATCTGATCTGATGTAGAAAATAGAAAAAGCAGATTTTTTTGTACAGCTAAGCTACCATGTACATCACTTACCATATAGATGCTCTTTGTGGTTCTATGGTTACAGACTGTAGTCCATCTGTTTTTCTGCATACTGTGTAAGCCCCCTTTCACCCTGTTCTTTAATGGTCATGACCCCCACAGGACCACCACAGAGCAGTAAAGTCAGAGACAGCTACTGTCTCTAACTTTACATCTACAAGGTGGATCAACAAGGTATGAGTGTCTAATAGAGTGGACAGTGAGTGGACACAGTGTTTAAAAACTCCATCAGCACTGCTGTATCTGATCCACTTGTACCAGCACAACACACACTAACACACCACCACCATGTCAGTGTCATTGCAGTGCTGAGAGTGATCCACCACCCAAAGAGATGGTGGTGGGCTTCCACAGACACAGTCATCTCCCTCCACCAGTGAACATCCAGGGAAGGGACATTGAGAGAATGGACTCTTATAAGTACCTGGGTTTTCACCTTAACAATAGACTGGACTGGTCAGAAAACACTAGTGCACTTTATAGGAAAGGCCAGAGCAGACTCTACCTGCTCAGAAGACGGTCGTTTGGAGTGCAGGGGGCACTCCTGAGGACCTTATTCGACACCATTGTGGCATCAGCCATCTTTTATGAAGTGGTCTGCTGGGGCAGCAGAATCTCAACCGCAGACAGGAAGAGACTTGACAGACTCATTAAGAGGGCCAGCTCTGTCCTGGGAAGCCCCACAAGTATTGAGA